ATATATATATAATTTTTTTTTTTTTTTTTCCTAAACTAAGATTATGCAACATGTTCTTATCTGTTTTCTCAATATTGTTGTGGAGACAAAAATTAAGGTGAATTTGAATTCCTGTGAGCTGAACAAAGGTGCAACACTCACTCTTCAAAGTTCAAGCTTTATTAATAAAACAACATGATGTTTCGGCCGTCCAAGGCCTTCATCAGATAACAAGAGTAACAATCTCACACAGTTATGTGCAGTCTGATAATCACCAACAGGTGTGCAACTCCACTAATTGTACTGTTTGAGAAGTAGTTTCCTAATAGGATTAGGGAGAGAAAAAAAGAAAAATACAAGTTCAAGATCAAACTTTAAAGAAAATATAAAGAGGCTCAATGAAACGAGCTTCAAATCAATTGACCAAAAAAACAAAACAAATCAAAGATACACGCTTAGTATAAGTATCCATATAAAGAAAAAGTACTTTTCTCAAAATAAACTATAATCAATTTCTTGATTCAAACCTTTGTGTTTAAAGTAAAAATCCAAAAGGTTTCTCTGGATTTGGGCTTCACATCAATATCTTCTCCCTGACCTGCTGAATGGATTTGTTCGATGCCAAAGTAGGGTTGTGACGGTGAGGAAATTTTCCCACCGGTTAATCAACGTGTGACAACACCGGTAATACCGGTATCACCGTGGGGGCGGGGCGGGGGCGTTCCCTCTTTTCCTCGCTTTCCTTCGCTTTTAAATAGCTTTTAAAAGCGGCGTGCACATTTTACTTTCACTTTGAAATAGCGGCAATTCGGCGTAAAGCAATTGTTCGTTTTTAGTTCATTTGAATTTTCCCTCAAAGTAAAAAAAAACTCACAAATAGAATGTGAATGCTCTTTAAAATGTTGTGCTACAGGGTTACTATCATCCCCACGTCTAATGGCACTACGATGTTCGCAAATGCGGGTTTTATTACATTTACATGTGATGACACTTTTTATAAATATATTTTTACCTGTTCTAGGATGTGAAAAATATTTTAACCTTTTAGTGAACTGGCACGGAGTGCAATTTCCACATTTATAGTTACCCGGAGGAATTATAAATGGTGGAGGCTTTGAGGGACTTTTGCATACATCAGCCTTAACCAAAAAGTTCTTCAGATTCTTTGCTCTGCGAAATGAAATCAATGGGGGATGTTCAAAAGTTTTAGAAAGATCTGGGTCTGATTGTAAAACTGTGTACCTTTTGTTCAGCTCACATGTTTTTTGATTTTTGGTTGTACCTCTTCTGTTGGTAGAGCACCTCTTTTTACATTTGTTACAGAATTTGAATTTCTGAAAATAATTTTCTGAAAAACAAAACAAAACAAAAAACTGTGTTAATATCCTCTTAAATTTAGGACAGTGTCCACTGTGTCTTAAATCTTAAACTTTAGAAAAAATAAGATGTACTTATGTAAAGTCTAAAATATTTAAGAACGTCTTAAGATTTTTTTCAAGAACTGCAGTTACTGAACATTCTTACAAACCTCTTAGAATTTATCCTATATAAAAATGTCTTGATAATTTGTTTTTAATCCAGCCCCGTTTTTTTTTTTTTTACATTTGAGTTTCTCAGCTGTTTGAAACATGCCTGTAAGATCCTGTAAAGAACAACATTAAGATACATAGAAATAGAATTAGGGATTTCATATCTCATTTACATATTTTGTTTGGATATGTATACTGTTACCGATTTGAAAAAGTCTCAAACACTGTTTAAACCAAACCTATGCCCTTGCACCTAGTTTCAAAAGATTCATACTGATATTCAGGCAGACAAAAACAGATCTGCTTTTCCTAGCTTCAGGTTTCATTCTACATGATCAACAGTAGTATCAAATACCAGAAAGGAGGCCTGTCTGATAGATTTATATCCATTTGGCTTCTTTAATGGACACTCAGGTTCTTCTTCTTTTAGTTTTTTTTTCTGATATCGTCAGTCTGCCTTGGCCTATGTATTACTGACTCCTAAATTGTTCCTCAGGGGCTGAACATAGTTAGTTACGCAACCTGCATGTCTCCCTGCAAAAGTTTAACATAACAACTGAGCCTTTTTATGGACGTTTTGTCCTTGTTTGCCTTTCAGTGTGTTGATTTTGTATTTTTACTGTTGATCTAATGTCTTACACTGTTCCCCAGGTGCCTGAGGTTATTAGCAGCATTAGACAGGTGTCCAAGGCTGCTCTTAAGGAGGAAAGCAAGCCCAGGCAAGACAGTGATGAGTCTTTTTACAACTCCCAAAAATTTGAAGTGCTTTACTGTGGAAAAGTGACAGTCAACCACAAGAAAGCCCCTTCCACTCTGGTCGACGACTGCATTGACAAATTCCGCCAGCACGAGATTGAGCGTAAGCGTCTGCGGCTCCTCAATGGCCAGCGCAGCTCCACCGAGGCCCCTGTGGAGTTCATTATGGGTGACGACCCTCTAAGCTCCTCCCTCTGCAAAGTCGACGAACTCGAGACCAACTTGATTGAGGAAGAGCTGTCTGAGAAGGGCAATGGGAAACTGGACCTGACTAGCTCCTCCAATACCGGCAGCCTACTAGGGGTCTTTCCTGAATGTATCTTGGAGGACTCAGATTTTGGGGAGCAACAGGAGATTCGTACACGCTGTAATAGCTTGGCGGGCGGCCTGCAGAAAAGGCCCAGAGAGGCGGGCAAGGGGTCGACTCGTAGGAGACACGCTAGCGAACCCAATAACGTGCAGCCTTCTGATGCTGACAAGAATCGCACAATGCTGTTCCAGGTACTACACGCAGATACAAGCTTACTTTTAGCTTGTGATTTCATGAACTTTGACAGGTGCCTCAAAAATGAAATTTCTTTTTATGTTGGAATGCAAAAGATATCAATAAGTCTTTCAACTGTTTTTCAAAGAATTTTTTAACAGAGGCCATTTATTTTTTGTCTTTTTACCCAAAGCAAACTTGAAAAAACTTGTATAGGTTTTCAAATTGCTCTTTTATAGTATTTCAGTTTGTTACTTGCCATGAAAATAGTCAAGGAAGCTGGCATGGCGTTAAAATGCCTACCAATCAATATTCAACTGTTTTTGTCCATACAGTTAAAGTTAATAGACAATCCTCTACATTGCAAGTAAATCACTCACATGTGCGACTAAATATCTTGCTAGGTTACTAAATAATGTCTGCCATTAGCCAATGGCAGTTTCACTCACCATTGAGGCTAAGAATAAACTATTTTTACTGTGTGTTGTGTCCTATGACTGCATCAGTTCGCATACACACTAGGTACTAGAATACTCTTACTTGGCGTTTGACAGGAAAGAATGCATATGCTTATTTCAGGGCATGGGAAGGGCCATTTTAAATTTAAATAGACAAAAAATAAAAATGGTAAACCAAAGATTTAGTCAGTGGTGATTCTATTAGCAGTGTGTCAGTACAGGGTTGATGGAGATCAAAACAACTTTGGACCCCATTGACTTTCATTTTATGGAGAAAAAAAAAAGTGTTTTTTTTTTTTAGCTCCAGCTTTGGGTGAACTATCACTTTAACCTTTAAATCAGCCCTACGCCTGCAAATGTCTTCTCTTTGAGAGGCGAAACGCTACATCTTGCTAATTAGCATGCATGACAGTCAAGCAGTCACACGTTTTCCTTTTAAACCGTTTTCAAGGATAGGTGTCATTTAGATTTGGTTAAGAAATCAGTTGCAGCCTCTGCAACCTTGATGATAAATAGAATTGTTTTGATGCAAATACTGCTCTCAAAAAACACTACGTGCGGAGTTATCAGTTATCAGACATTTAGCTTGATATTTGTGTTTTTATTCCTGCTGCTTCCTTCTCAGTAAGCAAAGTATGCTCTCAAACGGCTCTTTTGTGCAGGTTGGACGGTTTGAAGTGAATCTCATCAGCCCTGACACCAAATCTGTGGTTCTGGAGAAGAATTTTAAGGAGATCTCGTCCTGTTCACAGGTCTGTGTGTGTGTGTGTGTAAGGATTAGGTTTGTTTGGTTTTAGAGATAATCTCTCTCCCTCTCATATTTAATGTCACCATATGTTATCACACAATGCTATTCAAATCAAGTACCAAGCTACTGACATGAGGGTTTGTACCAGAAATGTTTTTATTTATTTTTTTTACAAATTTACTTATATTTGTCTTATATTAATATGTCATAGTTAAGGGATGTTTGTAGGCATTTTTACTTGGTAAAATCACTGTAAAACACACCTTTAAATGCTTATTGGGTTCATTGTTGTATAATACATTGGTATTATATTATAATACTATATTATATATTAATATAGTATTATAATATAATAAAAATTCTGTGTATTACCAATAATAATCACATTAAACAATTCTTGCGCCAAGTAGTGTAGTTTATTAGACTAAATCTAAGCCGTTTACAGTTGCCAAGAAATGTAGCAACTTGGTACATTAAAATAAAATTCAACTGATGTGCAGTCACAGTTTCGAACACGTTTCGTCCAATCAGATTTCAGAATCATTTGTTTTATAAAGTGAATAATTATGCTGCTCTGTGTTGTTGTGTTGCATTGTGACTTGCAGCTCTATAAAGTTATTTATCTTTTATTTATGTTGTTTTTTGTGTCCGCAGGGTGTTAAACAGACAGATCACTTTGGCTTTATTTGTCGGGATGTGGTGGAGTCTGGCCCAGCCCAGTATGTGTGTTACGTGTTCCAGTGCGCTAGTGAGTCTCTGGTGAGTCCTGACTTGCTTGCAGCACCTGTTGTCACCACACTGATCAATTATTTATCCAAAGCTACAATGGAAACAATGACCCTCCCTTGCCTGTCTTGTGGACATTGCCTTTAGTATGCTGATTTCTCTGCCAACTGAATGCCACCCAGAGGATGAATAGAATTAGACGTACTGTATGTTTTTGCACATATGTACAGAAAGATTGTCTCATTTCAAAATGACAATTGAGACAACTTCACAAATCAAATAGCATGTTTTGATATTAAATAATTAATCTTGTATGATTGGCCATTAGATTTTCATTGTCTATGTTTCAAGTCTATTACTGTATACGTTTTTGATTTGTTGAATTAAGATATTTTTTTACTGACATTAATGTATTTCACCAAGACTTTTTTTTAAATTTGTCTCCACACAGGTGGATGAAGTAATGCTCACCCTGAAACAAGCTTTTACCACAGCAGCAGCTCTGCAGAGCTCCAAGAACCAAATCGAACTGTGCGAAGCTTGTCCAATGCATGACTTGCACAAGCTCTGTGAGAGAATAGAAGGTACAGCCACCAGCTTCCATCAACTCACTCATCCCACTCATCCCACTTTTAGTACAATATTCCAGTGTGTTTCTCTCTCAATCTCCCAGGCTTGTATCCTCCCAGGGCAAAACTAGCCATTCAGAAGTACCTGTCCGAACTGAGCGACAACGAGCAGGTCAACATATTTGAGCGGGTGCAGGTAGAGAAATTTTGCAGACAAAGTAACTATACATCTTTCAATTTAAATTATTTTATTGCATATTTAGTTTGTATTTTCTCATGCATTAGAAAATGAAGCCAGCATCCGATCATGAAGAAAACGAGCTTGTGATTCTTCACCTCCGACAGCTGTGCGAGACTAAGCAGAAGTCTCATGTTCATATTAGAGAGGTCCCACAGGTAGCATAACTACACAAACAACATAAATGCACCACTTGCTTTGCCCACCCACGCTGCCTTGCAGAGTCATGAAACTGTGACCTCCCTCTAATTGGATAAGACAGATTGTGTAAGTGTCATCTGAACAGCTATAGATTAGAACAGAGCTCCTGAATGAATGCAGCTGCCCTTCTGAGTGTGTGGTATGGTACATTCTCAAGAGTACTTTGTCTCTGGAAAAATGTCTTATGTCTAACTGCTTTTAAAGAAATGCAATCAAAATGAATGCTATTTACATTCTTAATTTATATTCTTGGTCTTATTTTGAATTATTTATCAGTGAACATTATAACTTTCCTTTTCCATTAATAACACTTAGCTTGTGGCTATTGGTTAATGTGTATTGAATAATATAAGCATGCATATTAATATAATATGTTATGTATGTATGTGTGTACATTGATCAAGCGTGATAGTAAATACATTTATAATGTTACAAAACTATTCTATTTCAAATAAATGTTGTTCTTTTAAACGTTCTGTTCTTCAACAAATTGTGAAAGAAATGTATCACAGTTTCCAAATAAATAAATAAATAGCAAAACTGAAGTATCATGTGACACTGAAGACTGGAGTAATGGCTGCTGAAAAGGAACAAATTACATTTTATTATATATATTGAAATAGAAAATAATTTATTTTAAATTGAAAATTGGGGGTGGGGGAAGACATAATTAGCAAGGCTTCCAATGCACTTAATCTGTGCTTTAAGATCTGTTGTGTTTCTGTGGTAGAGCATTGTTTTGGACAGGTGATGATTTATCCCTGATGCCTGGTGGTCTTTCTTCCATTATGAAAACTGTCTAGTTGTATGGCACATTCATTCTCTCTTACTCGCTCCCTTTTTTCCTTTGTGTGACAGCAGAATGCTTCTGGCAGCACCATGACTTCTGATAACTCCAGCGCAGGCCGCAATAAACTGGACGCATTGAAGAACAAAGCCCGGAGTTCTCTGACAAGCTCCCTGGAGAACATCATCTCACGAGTATGTGTGTGTTGTCCATCTATGTCTTCGTGATCTATGAATGGGGATTGACCCATTTACCCCACCCCTGCACTGAATAATGCCTTTGTTTGTGTACAGTATTACAAGGAATCAACCATCTGCTGTATTTACTCACAAAACAATATCTATGTGTAAGGATAAAGATTAGCTATGCCTGAATTCTCCATTAGATGTGTGTGTGTGTGTGTTCAGTTAAAGGAACAGTTTCACTAAAAATTTAATTCTGCCATCATTTGCTCACAATCATGTTGTTCCAAACCTGTATGAATTTTTATATTTCTATATTTTTCGATGGTCACTATTTGATTTTGCTACATGGAAAAGAGTAGCATTATAATTTCTCAAAATATCTTTTTTTTTGTGTGTTCCATGAAAGATATAATACAGGTTTGTGAATGATGGATGACATGATGATTAAATGAAGACAGAATCTTTGTTTTATTCATTTTATTCATGCGTAAATGTCAATTCTGACATTCAAGCAGGTTGCTGATGTTTTTATATTTTAATTTTGCTGTTAACTCTTTCTTTCCTAGGGAGCCAACCGTATGCGAATGCGTCTCGGCAGCATGGGAAGTTTTGACCGCGTGAGTATCACACAACACGTGAACACCAGGATCTGTCATTTTAACCCCAGCTCTTGTTGTCTCCCTGCCAAGAATCACGTCTCTGTTCTTCCCCTGCCAGCAAGCATGTCTCTGTGGTGTCAATTACCACCGCATACTGAAAATAATACCAATGCTGTGTTATGATACACTACATTATGATACACTTTTCAGCATCAGCTTGAGGAATAGGATTGAATCTGGCCTGTCAACCTTGCTTATCGGGGGGTGGCTTGATTTGACCCTGTCCACCTCGCTGTCTCGGTGGGGTGTGAAATGTGAGGTGTGTGTGATGGTAAGCTCGGGTCTCTGGACACATCTCCATGGAAAATAAATCAGTCAGCTCTTCTTTCCCACAGGGTCCTCACATGGCCTCAGAGGCACTGCCAATTTTGAGCACCTTCTGCTTAAACTTCAGCTCTCAATAACGTGTTACAATCCAGCAACTCCTTGTTTATGACTCTCTTCCGAGTTCTATATGTACTGTGAATCAGTTCTGAGAATTATTATCATATAGTGAATTTAAAACTGATGAAAATTATTGATTTAAAAGTATAGTTAACCCAAAAATGAAACTTCTGTCATAATTTACTCTCTCCCATGTTATATATATATATATATATACACAATGGAAGTTAGTGGTCAGCAAAACTGTTTGGTTACCAACATTCTTCAAAATATCTTCCTTTGTTTTTAACAGAAAAAGTCATACAGTTTTGGAACAACATGAAGGTGATCCAAATTGATCAAACTTACACTATATAAAGATTCCCATTCCCTTTGTGTTACCCTGCCAAGAATACTATTATGTTGTTTGGATCATTTGTTTTTCCCAAATTTAGCTGTAAGCAGCTGAAGGAAGTGGACAGGGTTTGTGATTTGTGCAGGTGGAAGGAGAGAGAGCATTGTGCAGCTGTTGCTGGTTTCCTGGCCCTGCTGTGTACTGACTCACAGGAGAGCATGGGTTCAGGAACCGCCATAGCGCAGGGACAGGAAACAGAGTGAGGAAGTGAGACCCTTCCTACAGCCATGACCGTAAACAGCAGCCAAAACCTCCATTGTGCTGCGGTCCACCTCCAACAGCTCATGTGTGCCTGATGTGGCTCTGACACAGACTATTAACATACAATAGTGTGTGCAGTCACGCTACCACCAACATAGCCACTTCTGCCTGGGGAAGCGAACCGAGACTCAGGTTGGACGGGGAGGGGGAAAATGCTGGGTGAGTCGAGAATCAGTAGTTTGATAAAGCTGGCGTCAAGTCATTTGTTTTGCTTAGTCTGAAACTTGAAGGTTATACATGCATCTCTCAGTAGATTGCTTGTTTCTGTCTGGCAAGTAGTTGAATTTGAGGTTTGACTCTTGGAAAAGCTGAGCTTGTGGATTTCAAAGTTTGAGGATTTCAAAGATATATTTTGAATACAATATCGTCGTACGTCAGGGTGTTGGGTCCATCTCAACACTGACCTGGTTCATCCTCTTTTCACCCAGCAGGCTGACTCCCCTGGTGATTCCCCACCTGGGACTCCACCCAGTTACCTTGAGGAGGACCCAGATGCCCCGCAGTTCCGTCGCCGGGCGCACACCTTCAGCCACCCGCCCATCAAAAAAAAGATCTCCTTCACTGAGGTTTCCTCCCAGGCCTGTAAGGCTCCGCTGCGGCGACAGCAGTCTTTGGCCCCAGAGCTGCTGCAGAGCAGGTAATGCATCACTTCCTGTTTGCTCTCATGTGATAGTCGTATATCTTTCCATCTGTTTTTCAGCAGTCATATGATGTACAGAATGTTGCAGCAACGTACTGACATGCTGAAAACAGCTTGTTGTGTATAATTGCAAAAATCATAGATATGGTTCCATACAGTACATATAAACTGATAAAAGTGATTGATTTTAGCATGAATTCTTACATGGAGAGAGCATGTGGCATGTTTTGTGTGTATTGTTGGATTTAGCACTAATTCACATTATTTAGAAAATTACTAAAACTAGAGGATATGATGTTCCCAGGCAAAACCTGAAATTGTTATGCTCACCTGAAGGAATCTTTCATCTGCTCAGAAGCACTCGTGTTCTAGATTGTGGTTTCATGGCAGGGTTTAGTGCTCTGTAAAGTAATGTGTATTTGTTGTGGGCCTTTTATGTTTCGACTCCCTCAGCACCGTTGGTTTCTCGAGAGTGCGCAGTGTCTCTGAGAGCGAGTCCTACTTCAGTCTCTCATCCTCCTTCCACACCCCCACTTTTCTGAAAACCTTTTACCAGGGCTCCCTTGGCTCACTGGCCTCCCTGTCGGACAGCGGTAGTCTTAAGAGGTGAGAGGGGGCATCGGTTTCGGACCGTTCAGTGTTCGTTTCTCCCCGGGGGTGCCTGAGGTTCGAACTGATGGCGGCCGCCTTCTCTGCGCCTGTCTGTTTCTTAACCCAAAGGCTTCAGTCACTTTGTCATCAGTCAGGAAGGACCGCTTCTGTAACTTACTCTCTCTCTCTTCCTGCCGAAATTGTTGGACTTTGTCATTGTCCACTGGACAAGAGGGATGCTAAACCTCATTTGCATGTTGGTGTCTTTACTAACTAATGGTAAACAAAAGCATTTATCATCTATATCTCATTAAACAACTGTCGCAGAACTTTCTACTAATCTATACTCTATTGTGTTTAAATATTGACAAAAAATTACACTGTTATGTTGGATAATAATTCAGATTTCATTTTTAAATAGTGTTTCCAGGTTGCTTTGAATAATTCGAGATGGTCTTTAGTTCGTCTGACTCATCTGATTTTTTTTCTTTTTTTTTGTAAATAATTTTCAAATAGGTCAGAATAGATATGTCAGATTTTCAGTTAAAGGTGCACTAAGAGATTTTTGCCAAACGATGTTGATATTTGAAAGCACTAAAACAAACACGCCCATACCCCAACAGCACCTCGCCCCTATTTTGATAACTCCGCCTACATGTATGTACTACGTACACAACCCTGGCAGCGACGATGGTGGAATTTGCTATGCCTGCCGGCCACAGCATATTCAAGCAAAAGCCAACACAGATTAGTTGTGTGAAACAAAGCAAAATCAACGTAACTCACCTATCAAAAAGAAACAAAGCAACCTCGGCGTCCAATTCCAGGCCTTCCTGCTCCTTGAGTTCTCTCCACCACTGGAAAGCTGCTCCAATATTTATGAGGGTCCTAGCTCTTGCCTGATCGTAACCCTTCTTTTTAATGTTTTGTTCCTCCTATTTTTTTATCTGCCTTCTCTCGCTATCTATAGTCGATCTGCTAATATCCGTCCTGTGCACTCACTGAGCGCTCTCTTCTCCCTATCATTACTAGACATGCCCCTTACTGATGATTGTCAGCAAGTGTGTTTTGAGACTGACACTGTGGTCAAAAGGGTTTTTCAAATATTGCTTAGTGCACCTTTAAGCAAATAAGTCACCAGCTTAGCCAGGCTGGGAGACCATCTTAAACCAGTTAAAACCTTCAAACCAGTTTTATGATGGTGTTTTCAACAAGATCTTTAATTAAAGCTAAACTGCAACAATGGCTCGTTCAGAAATCTTTGGATGTCTGACATCAAAAAGCGACATTAACACATACCCACATTTACAGAACATTTCAACAACACTAGTTTGATGTTGCTATTAAAGGGATAGTTCACCCAAAAGTGAATCATGTGATGAACCATTTACTCATCCTCATGGTGTTCCAGACCTGTATGACTTTCTTCTGTGGAACATACAAGAAGATATACAATGGAAGTCAATGGTAACTGTTTGGTTACCAACTATTTTAAAATATCTTTTGTGTTTTGTAGAAGAAATGACAGGAGGCTGAGCAAATGATGACCAAATTGTTTGGGTAAACTGTTAAATATATTTTATGTTCTAAAACCAGTTAATGGGGTCATATAACACATTTCACTTTTTCTCGGGGTTAACCATTTTTTGTGCTAAAAACAGTCAATTTGGATTTACATAGCCATTTGCAGCCTCTTTCTGACACTTAAAGCTCCTCCAGTGAATGGAATTTATATCAGTGGTTGTCAAGGGCGAGTGTATTAGAACAGTGAAACCATGCGTGGAATATAGAAACTCTCCCAAGGGTCTCTTAACAGGACAATACTGTTTGACCAGACTTTTGTGCTAGTGGCTTGAACGACAAGCACTCTTTCATCTGAACAACAGCCACCTTGGACTCACTGACAAATGATGTTCCTCGATGTGTATTTGCCCTTCATTTGTTTGACATAGTGGGCTCCAATGCTTTGCGTGCTCTGAAAGAAGGAGATAACATTTAAAATGTCACATCCTTTTCTACAAATTGGAGAGAAGGTCCTTCTCTCTGTGTGTTGAATGTCACCAGCTGTCTCTTTTAATTGAATGTGCAGCACACCTGTCGGTGTGGTGGTCAGGGTTGGTCCATTTCTCTAGCCAGCGTGTTATGCATAACATTTAAACCTGTTTCACGCTTTCATTAACTCCGCCTGAAGTGTCCTTGCTGTTGCTTGTGTATTGTTGTGGTAACTAAGCAAAGAGACAGATACAAGGAACATAGAGACTAGCAGGATAAAACAGATTTGATTATAGGCACATCTTATTCCTGACTTGGATATTAACCATCTGTTTCAGCTTCTTGGACTTGGAAATCCTTAAAAAATCTCATATCTAATGGAAAAAAAGATTATATATATATATATATACACACAAGCACACACACACACACACACACACACAGATGTATTGTGGTGTCCTCAAAAATATTAAGTAGCACAAATGTTTTCAACATTGATGATAATAAGAAATGTTTCTTGAGCACAAAATCAGCATATTAGAATGATTTCTGAAGGATCATGTGACATTGAACAGGAATAAATTACATTGTAAAATTTTTATTTATTTATTTGTTCGTACATAAGTTGACTGAATGTTTTGTATTGATTGTTGGTGAAAAGATCTAAAGAATGATTTGTGTGTAAAGTTCCTTTTTAGTTATTTAGTTATTCCTCATTCTGTCCACTTCCTAATGCTTTTCTCTTTCCTTAAAACAGGTTATCTGTGTTTTATGTACTTTATGCATGAAACCAATTAACATGTATTATGACAATCTAAATGCACTGCTTGTTAATGCTTATGAGCTTTTGCTTAAATGTATTGCTGAATGAACATGTTACACAAATCTGTGTTGTTTATTATCTTATAGCTGCTCTGGCCACCTGTATTGAGAGTACACGGCCTAAAAATGTTGCTTATCTACTCATTTGAATAAGCATATCTTGTTTTGTTTTTCTATAGTGGTAATGGAGACGGCAGGAAGAGGTCTCTGTCAGGCTGTAGCACCGATTCTTTGACCTTGGTGCCTCCACGCAGAGTTTCTTGGCGCCAGAAGATTTTCCTAAGGGTGGCGTCACCCATGAACAAACCCTCTGCATCTATGCAAAACGTGGGTGGGTACACATGCTCGAGCGCACACACAGACAAGCAGACAGGTGCAACATTACACCCTCTTCTCCCAACAGTCTATTTATAGTCAACATGGCAGGATAAATCATTGTTCTGCAAGCTTTTTAACTTAAAGATAATTCTTCCTTTTGAGATTCAAGAAAAAGAAACTGTAACAATGGTATATAATATAAAGAAGTAAATACATTATATAAATAATAATAATAATATAGTTAGTTAATAGTATATTTTGTATACTATTATATTATTACATTTTATAATAGTGCTATCAAATCGATTAAGCGTGGTTTGTGTTTACATAATATATGTATGTGTACTGTGTGTGTATATTTATATGTATATATAAATACACACACACATGTACACTACCGCTCAAAAGTTTGGGATCAGTAAGACTTGTAATGTTTTTAAAGACATATACACACATATACAGCCATGGTGAGCGTTGGAGACTTCTGTCAAAAACATTAAAGAATCATACTTATTTCAAACTTTTGACTATATATATAGTCATATATATATATTTAAAATATAAATCTTTTCTAACAATATACACTACCGTTCAAAAGTTTGGGGTCAGTTCATTTTTATTCTTTCTTTTTTTTAAAGAAATTAAAACTTTTTTTCAGCAAGGATGTGTTAAATTAATAAGAAGTGATAGCAAAAATTTACACTGAACAAAATTATAAACGCAACACTTTTGTTTTTGCCCCCATTTTTCATGAGCTGAACTCAAAGATCGAAGACTTTTTCGGTGTACACAAAAGGCCTATTTCTCTCAAATATTGTTCACAAATCTTGTCTAAATCTGTGTTAGTGAGCACTTCTCCTTTGCCAAGATAATCCATCCACCTCACAGGTGAGGCATATCATAGGCCTTTTGTGTACATAGAAAAAGTCTTAGATCTTTGAGTTCAGCTCATGAAAAACGGGGGCAAAAACAAAAGTGTTGCGTTTATAATTTTTTTTCAGTGTATATTGTTAGAAAAGATTAATATTTGGAATAAATGCTGTTCTTTTTAACTTTTTATTCATCAAAGAATCCTGAAAAAAGTATTGCAGTTTCCCAAAAAACATTTGGCAGCACAACTGTTGCCAACATTGATAATTCTAATAATAAATCAGCATATTAGAATGATTTCTGAAGGATCATGTGACACT